GTTTTTCCCATTGGTCGTCTGCCTTTCGCCGTCACCAGGTGCCACGGGATTGGCTAGGGACTCTACCTGGCTCGCGCATGCGCAAAGCCCAGGACCCACCGTCCTGCCAAGCAATGCCTAGGGAGTTACCTCAAAACTGCAAGGAAGTGGGCGGCGCCTTCGCGCCGGCTCCCCACAATAATCCTCCTGTTTACACTTGTCATGACATTGGGATGGCAGCCACAAGGCCCAGTTATTGCTGGAGATGGAGATCTCACTCATTGTTGCCCAGGCTGGATTCAAATCACAGTCCTCCCCGTCTGTCTGCCAAGTAATTAGAATGAAAGATATGAACCAATCCACCCATCTAGATCTGCTTTCTTTTCTTTTTCGTGAACTCTCTTCATTTTTGCTTGAACTCAGGGCCTGGACACTTTCCCAGAGGTTTTTCACTCAAGGCTACCACTCTACCACTGGAGTCACTACTCCACTTCTAGCTTTTGGGTGACTCATTGAAGATAAAAGTCTCATTGAGTTTCCTGCCCAAGCGGGCTTCAAACCATGATCCTCAGATTTCAGCCTCTAGAGTGGCTGGGAAGACAGGTGAGAACCACCTGCTCCGAGTCCAGTCCACTTTGTTAGCAACCTCCCTGGGGACAGAGCACATCATTCACTGTCAGTCGCTGTAATGAAAATCCAAGGGCGGGCACTCATTGGCTCCACTTAAACCACTGTCCACCTCTGAACCAATCAAAGCAACCAAGGAAAACAAGAGGCTCTGATTGGCCAGGTTTGAGCTCCCCCAACCCAGTATCATCCTAGGCATCATTGGGTGCAGTGGAATCCACCAGAACGCAGGGAATGAGGGAGGTGATGTTTTCTAAAGGAAATCTGGGGTGCTCATTCACGGATGGGAGTGATACATGCCAGGCAGTTAAAAAAAAGTACGCAGCATTTCTTCATCTGCCTGTTTCCTTCCACTCCAGAGAACCCCGGGCTCCAAGTCAGCCGGACCCATTGTTGGTGTCATGTTCAAGGTGCTGTGGGAGGTGGGGGAGAATCACGGTGGTCCTGGTGCTTCTGATCTTCGGGTATCCAATGCTCTGCTTGCCCCCCCCACTGCATTCCTGCTGTGTACGAGGTTTAGCCTGAAGGGAGAGGGTACTTGGGGGTTCCTAGGTGCCCACCCAGGCTTCTGGCCCATCTCCCCAGATGATGAATTTTCCTCCTGTTTCTCCAGGTCCACAACAGTTGAACTCCTCTACCAGTGAGGTAACTGGGAGGAGAGGAGAGGAGAAAGAAGGGGAGGTGGGGTGGCCCCTAATGGCTCCTGAGAAGGGCCTTGGCAGGAGCTCAGGTCTAGCCCATCAGAACCTGGCATTTTCCCTGGCTGCTGTGATTGGCTCAGGGATGGGCAGTGATTTATGTGGAGCCAATGAGAGCCTGCTTTGATTACAGCTATTGACAGTGGACTACAAGCCAAGTGCTGAGACTGTGTCTAGGGGGGAGGAGACCATGCCCTTCAAAGTTCAAGTCCCATGACAACCAGCATAACAAGAAAAAACAAAGCTGGCTGTAGTGGCGTGTTGCAATCAATAGTGATGTCTGTCCCGTGTCTGGGAAAATTTAGCCTGGGTACCATAGCTTGCGTGCTGGGATGGAGTAGTGATGTCTGCCCCCAGGACAGGCATGGGAAGATGGGTCTGGGGAAACCACATAGTCTTCATCCTGTTCTCCCATAACATTTTTCTGCCCTGAGATGCTGCTTGACCCACCCAACAAATATTGGGAATCTCTGAACTCATTCATTCAACCCATACGTATAAGAGCACATAAATGGATATGAAGTGTAAGATTATGGATATCAGCTGGATAGGACTTAAAACTGCCTATATTTCAGTTGAGCAACAGTGACTCATGCCTGAAACCAAGGTAGTCAGGAGGCTGAGATCTGAGGATCATGGTTCAAAACCATCCTGGGCAGGAAAGTCCGTGACACTCTTATCTCCAATTCACCACTAGAAAACTAGAAGTGACATTATAGCTCAAAGATATAGAGTGGGGGCTGGGAAGGTGGCTCAGTGGTAGAGCGCTTGCCTTGCATGCCTGAGGCCCTGGGTTTGATTCCTCAGCACCACATAAGCAAAAAGAAAAAAGCTGGAGAAAAAGCTGGAAGTGGCGCTGTGGCTCAAGTGGTAGAGTGCTAGCCTTGAGCTGAAGAGCTGAGGGACAGCGCCCAGGCCCAGAGTTCAGACCCCCCCCAAAAAAAAAAAGTTATAGAGTGGTAGCCTTGAGCAAAAGAGCTCAGGGACAGCGACCAGGCCCTCAGTTTGAACCTTACAAACAACAAAAAAGAAAGAAAGAAAGAAAGAAAGAAAGAAAGAAAGAAAGAAAGAAAGAAAGAAAGAAAGAAAGAAAGAAAGAAGAGAGAGAGAAAGAAGAGAGAGAGAGAAAGAGAGAAAGGATAGAAAAGCCTCATTTTATTTTTGCAGTCCTAGGTCTTGAACTCACAGCCTGGGCACTGTCCCTGAGCTTCTTTTATTCAAGGCTAGCACTCTACCATTTGAACCACAGCACCTCATCAACTTTTTCTGTGTATGTGGTACTGAGGAATCGAACCCAGTGCTTCAGGCATGCTAGGCAAGCCCTCTACCATGTTCCTAGCAACAAAGATTGTTGACTAACAGCTGACTGTCTCCTTCTAGAATGTTGCATATTCACCTGTACGCAAGGAGGTTGGTCCTGTGAAAGACACAGCAGCCAGCAACGGTGACAGCATCACCGGCCCCGACTCCCACCATGTGCCGTGGGTGCACAGACGGAGGGCTGGCGGCCTCTCCTTCTCTACAGCGCATGACCCATCCACAGCCTCATCAGTTCCTAAGCAAAAGGCCTTCCTGGAGGCATAGCACAAGTGGTATAGCACCAGCTGAGCCATCAGAAGACCTTGGGCTCAACTTTGAGAACCCTCCAGAGCCCACACCAGTCAGATATGCCCTCAGCCACTTCTGCCATTTGCAAGGAAGACTAGAGAGCTCTGAAGACGCCTAGGACATGTCTGAGGGGACCAGGCTGGATCTGCCACGCCCTTTCCCAGAGGACTCATGGGGACAGTGCTCAGTCTCTTAATGACAAGCTGAGTGTGGTAGCACACACCTGTAATCCCAGCTACTAAGGAGTCACCAGTCTCAAGCTGGCCTGGGACCACCTCTAAGCCAGAAGCCTCCACCCCAGAGCAGCAAAGTAAACTTTTGTTTATTTATTTATTTGTTGTGGGTCTGGGGGAAGAGTGTTAAACTGGGCCTGGGCGCTTTCCCTGAGCTCTTTTGCTCAATGCTAGGGCTCTACTATTTTGAGAAACAGTGCTACTTCCCATTTTCTGGTGGTTCACTGGAGATGAGTCTCATGGACTTTTGTGCCTGGACTGGATTTGAACCACGATTCTCAGATCTCAGCCTCCCAGGTAGCTAGGATGACAAACACTGAGGCTTAAAGTAAACTATTAAAAGCTTATTTGTGGTCTTGGCAGCAGCAAGAAGCAAATAAGGAAGAGGGGAGAATTGGTCGGATAGCAGAAGTGAGGCGCCAGAGCAGAACAAGGAAAGCGGGGTCCACAGTGTCGGCGGACTTAGAGAAGATGGCTGGTTTCCGGGAATGATCCCTTTCTCTGCCTCTAGCAATTTATTAAATTAATTATTTGTTCATTTTACTTTGTGGAATTTAGTTATTTGTTTGTTTTTTGTCAGTCCTGGGGCTTGAACTAGGGACCCATGGGCTGGCCTGAGCTTTTTTGCTCAAGGCTTGTGCTCTACCACTTCAGCCACAGCTCCACTTCAGCTTTTGGGTGGTTCATTGGAGATAAGAGTCTCACAGAGTGGGTCTTCCAGGCTGGGCTCAGACTAAGATCCTCAGATCTCAAACTCCTGTATAGCTCGGATAACAGGAGTGTCACCATTGAATAATGGAAAAGGATTCAAAGTGTGTGAGACAGACAGACAGACAGACAGACAGACTGAAGGAATGACTGAATCAATGACTGGCTGGCTGACTAGAGGAACTGGAAAATCCAAAGCATCTTCTCTTGAAAATAAATCACTGCAACGCCTTCCCAAGGGGCAGACAAGAAATCACACAACTACAGCAAGGAAGACTTTGGGGGAACCCCTCCCAGACAGTGGGGGTCACCACCATGCTCCCCAGGCCTCAAGCTCACTGTTCTTGCTTGTTTGGATGGTGCTTTACTACCTGAGCCAGGGCTCCATACATTCTAGGCATACACTCTACCATCAAGCCACATTCCTAGCTATTTTTTCTTATGGAGGTGGTGGTGCACCTCTGTAATTCCAGCTACTCAAGAGGAGAAAGTGGGAATGTCTGCATTCAAAGCCAGTAGAGGCAAAAGTGCCAGACTCTACTTAAGAATTAACCACAAACAAAAAGACTGGAGAGCAGGAGGAGGGTAAAATTCAAGAGGAAGCCCCATCTTCCCCAGCAAGCACAGAGCCCCAAATTCAAACCCCAGAGCCACCAAAAACAGCAACATCAAACATGCCTGGTCGTCTTGATTTGTCTTACCTCAAATTGCACAGTTTGGGGCTCCCACAGGGCTGGCTCTGCTTCCTGCATGGCTGTTTCTTCCCTGTGCGACCTGCCATTAGCCAGCACACCTAGCTAGGACAGAGAGAGCCTACTGAGGTAGTTGGAGGCAGCAGGTGGCAGGTCTGCTGGGGGCAGGGCCAGCTCTGCCTGAGGGGATGTGAGATGACCCAGACTCCTGCGCCCCCTGCTGGCTACAGAGCTAAATGGACTAGCTGCACGTCCCCCCCCCTGGTGGCCATATAGGGAATGGCACAGACACGTCCAGTTAAAAACAGGAGGGGGAAGAGGTTGGGAGATCAGCAACACGGTGAACCACACAGGGTTTGGGATGAGCAGGATCCCGGTGATTCAGAAAAGCCACATCTTGTATCACACAGAGCCTGAGGCTGGCTGTGTCTTTGCCAGCCCACTTGGGACCTCCAATGGAGGCCTCCTCTTCCTTACCCATCTATCACTGGGCCAGGAGCTTGGGGACCCTGCCTGGCTCCGCTCAGGTCCAGGGCACCCAGGTCTGGATCGCTGTGGTGAACGAGGCCATCAACATGACTTTCATCTGCAACCCCACCAACACCATGGGGACCGGCCAGGGAGAAGTGACCATTGTCCTCAGAGGTGAGGGGCTGCCCCAGGATGCCCTCTGACTCCTGCTTCACACAAGACATCTCAGGATGGGATCAGTGCAGTCAGCTCTGTTCCATGACCCTCCCCTCACTTAAAACCTGGGTTCCTGGTGCCATTGGTCATCTGCTGCCTGCGCACAGACCCGCCAACAACCCAGGCTGAAGAAATTGTAATTTGCTTCTTTCCCAGGTAGGTAGAGGCAAGATGGGCTCAGAAAAGCTCTTCTAAATACTCTGAATAAGACTTTGATATAAAAAAAGACTTTGATAAAATTGATGGAAGTATGTGAGAGAGACAGACAGACAAACAGACAGACAGACTGAATGAATGAATGACTAGAAGGACTGGAAAATCCAGAGCAGCTTAGCTTGAAAATAAATCACTGCATCATCACCTTCCCAAGGGGCAGACAAGAAATCGCACAACTGCAGCAAGGAGGACTTTGGGGGAACCCCTCCCAAACAGTGGGGATCACCACTGTTTTCCCCAGGGCCTCATGCTCACTGCTCTTGCTTGTTTGGCTGGTGCTTTCCTACCTGAGCCAGGGCTCCAGGCCAGCTTTCTTCTGGTTACTTTGGAGATGAAGTGTCCAGGACTTTTCTGTCCAGACTGGCTCTTGACCTTGATCCTCTAGATCTCAGCCTCGTGAGTCTCTGGAATTACAGGTGTAAGCAAACAGTGCCTGGCTTACGGAGTTATAGCCAGGTATGGATGGTTCACACCTGTCATCCTAGCTACTCAGGAGGCTGAGATCTGAGGATTGAGGTTCAAAGCCAGCCCTGGCAGGAAAGTCTGTAAGACTCTTCTCTCTAATTAACCTCCAGATAACCAGAAGTGGCACCTTGGCTCAAGTGGTGGAGCATCAACTTTGAGTACAAAAGCTCAGGGCTAGTTCCCAGGCCTTGCGGTCAAACCCTGGGACTAGCACAAAAAAAAAGTAAAAAGAATCAAAGCACAGCCAAGGCTGGGGGGGTGTGTATATAATCCCAGCACCCAGGGGCTGAGGCAGGAAGATCGTGAGTTTGAAACCAGTCTTGGTTACAAAGCAAGTCCCAGTCAGGAGGAAGGGAAGGCTTGCAACACTTACCCTGCACGTAGGAGAGGCCCTGGGTTCAAGCCTAAGTACTGCAGGGACCCCTCCCCCCACCCCAGTGGCACAAGGCCTCTCCCTACTCCTCCCTCCACCCCTCAATTGCCAGTCCCCACAATGCACTTGGAACACCAGCTCTGCCCCTTTGCATCTCTGTCCCCCCTACCCCGAGGCCACGCCCCACCCCAGCCACCTTGTCCCACTGGTATTGCCACTTCAAGTCCCAGCTGAGATGTCGAGATGTCGAGATGTCGCCTCCACCAGGAAACCCTTGGTTTCTCCAGGGCTGTGACCCCCACAGAGAAAAGAGAATAGGCAGGAAGTGGCACTGTAGCTCAAGTGGTAGAGCGCTGGCTTTGAGCTGAAGAGCTGAGGGACAGCGCCCAGGCCCAGAGTTCAGGCCCCACGACCAACCAAAAAAAAAGAGAATAGGCAGGAGCCATGACCACCACTGTGTCAGGGACTGGGTACCAGGAATGAATGAATGAATGAATGAATGAATGAATGATAGTCTCTGTGTATCTATGTATGCCAGTCTTGGGGCTTGAACTCAGGGCCTAGGCACCATTCCTGAGCTTCTTTTATCCCAAGGCAAGAGCTCTACCCCTTGAGCCACAGCTCTACTTCTGACTTTTTGGTGGCTCATTGGAGATAAGAGTCTCCTGGACTTTCCTGCCCAGGCTGGCTTTGAACCGCAGTCCTTAGATCTCTTCCTCCTGAGTAGCTAGGATTACAGGCGTGTGCCACCAGCCCGGGCTGAATGAATGCTCCTGAAAAGGTTATAAGCCAGCCCTGGGGCAGGCGGGGCAGAGGATGAACTTCCACCTCTGCTCCCAGCCGCCTTGCCAGTCTTCCCTTGAGCCTCAGTTTCCCCAGCTGGGCAGTGGGAAGCAAGGCTGGGGTGGGGTGCGTGTAATTAGGAGGAGGCTGGGGAAGGCCCCTGGGTGAACTTCCCAGTCACCTGCGGGGAACTGGTTCAACCAGTGTCCCTGCTTCCAGGCAGGTGGAGCCTGGGGAGGCCGTGACAGGACTGTGGGGTACGGGCAGGCACCAGGCAGCCGCGCTGGGTTCCTGAGTCCCCTGGGGAGCTCCCACCGGAGACACGACAGACGCACTGGGACCTTGGGCGTCGCCAACGGACGCCACATGGGGCCCCTTGTTAGCCCCCAGGGCCACCTGGCGAACAGCCTCTTCCTGTCAGGTAAGAACAAACCGGAAGGCTGACTGGAGAAGGTAGGACTTGAACCCAGGTCTGGGAAGGGGAGGAGGTTCCTCCTCAGAAAAAGGGAATATTACTGGAGAAGGTAACATGATGGAAGAAGCAGGGAGCCGTACACAGGGGCCAGAACAGCAGACTCACTTCTCCATTTCATCTCTGGAATGTTCTATTAGGTCAGAAATATGGGTTTTGATTCCTGTTTGTTATTGTTGCTGGTTTTTCACTTATTTATTTTTGTTTTTTGTGGGGCTTGAACTCTGGGCCTGGGCGCTGTCCACTTGAGCCACAGTGCCACTTCCAGTTTTCTGGTGGTTTATTGGAGATAAGAGTCTCACAGACTTTCCTGCCCAGGCTGACTTTGAACCGCAATCCTCAGATCTCAGCCTCCTGATTTGATTCCTATTGAATCCCCAGCCACTAGAATTCAAGGGGAGTGTGTGTGTGTGTGTGTGTACACACACACGCGTGCATGTATGCATGTGCATCCATGTGCCCATTCTGAGGCTTGAACCCAGGATCTGGCCACTGTCCCTGAGCTTTTCCTCTCAAGGCTGGTGCTCTACCACTTGAGCCACAGCTCCTTCTGGGTGTTTGTGACTCATTGGAGTCAAGCATCTCACAGACTTTCCTGCCTGGGCTGGCTTCAAACAGCCATCCTCAGCTCTCAGCCTCCTGAGTAGCTGGGGTTACAGGCGTGAGCCACCCATGCACAGCTGAAAGCTAGGGAAATTTAAATCCTGTCTGGCTGATGTCCATCATTCTACACTTCATATCATGTATATGCTTATAAGTATGGGTTGAATGAATGAGTTCAGAGATTCCCAGTGTTTGTGGGATGGGTCAGGCAGCATCTCAGGGCAGAAAAGCCTTCTGGGAGAATGGGATGGAGAATCTGTGGTTTACCCAGGGCCATCTTCCCATGCCTGCATCTGGAGCAGACATCACTAATGGATCCCAACACACAAGCTGTGGTATCCAGACCAATCTTCCCAAACCCACACCCAGGGCAGACATCACTAATCGATCCCAGCATAGTATGCAATGCAGCCAGAGGGAAGGTCTCTAGAAAGGGGGATGGCACTGGTCCCTGCCAGCCCTGCCCGCAAGCTCGGGCCCCTCTCCCTTCACGCCTCCCTATCCTCCTCCCACAGCTTCTGTCCTGGTCCTGTGGCTGCCTCAATGCTCCCAGGCCTCGCTCAGTATCCAGAAGATTCCAGAAATGCCTCAGAAGAACCAGGATCTTCTCCTGTCCCTCCACGGGGTCCCCAGCACCTTCCAGGATGTCACCTGGTACCTGGGGGAGACCACGGACGGGGGTACCAGACTGTTCACCTACATCCCGGAGCTGCTGCGGCCCCAGAGGGATGGAGAGGCCATGGGGCAGAGGGACATGGTCGGCTTCCCCAATGGCTCCCTGCTGCTGCGCCACGCCCAGCCCGGGGACAGTGGCCTCTACCAAGTCGCCCTGGCCGTCAACGCGGCCTGGACCATGAGGGCCAAGGCCCACGTCCAGGTGGTTGGTGAGTGGAGGAGGGGTTGGGGACGAAGTGGGGGTGCTGGTGACTCCCCTAGAAACTGCCACACGCCAGGATCCACCAACACACACGGAGCGCCCACGGCGTGCAAGGCCTTGGTCCGTCTCCACTCACATGACCTGGCAAAACGCCCAAGGCCAGATGCACTCCAAAGAACACCGCCATCTTGCTGGCTTCTCTCATGCATTCACGAGCCCGGGACTTATTTAGCGCCCCCTGTCTGCATGATCCTGAGAAATGCAGGCCATCCACCATCTTCATGTCTACCCATGTAGGCACTGGGGGACAGGGTGGGGGACAGCAAGGGGCATCTGACTTTTCTTTTTGTCCTGGGCCTGTCCTGGGACTTGAACTCAGGACCTGGATGCTGTCCCTGAACTTGTGTGTGTGTGTTGTTGTTGTTTTGGCTCAAAGTTGGTGTTCTACTACTTGAGCCATGGCCCCACTTCCAGTTTTGGCGTGGTTCATTGGAGGTCAGAGTCTCATAGACGTTTCTGACCTGGCTGGTTTTGAACTCAGAGCCTCTGATCTCAGCCTTCCGAGTGCTGGGAGGACCAGTGTGTAGCACCTGGCTGTAGTTTTAGGTGGGATGCTGGGGTTGGAAAACCAGAGAAAGCTGGCCCGAGGGCCTCCCACACTGGAGTGGAAGGCCACCCCCCCCCGGGGGACCTCACAGGGTCCTCTGTCACCTGCAGAAGGAACACACACGGAGCCCACCACTGCACACGTGCCCATGAACGCCGGGGTGGTAGCCGCGGCCATCGTGGGCCCTCTGGCCGTGGCTAGTCTTCTCATCGGCGGCCTCGCCTACCTCCTGGTGACACGGAGCTGGGGGGGGCAAAGTTCCAGGTACAGACTCTCCCAGGCCTGCCTTTCTGCTCTCTGTCTCCCCCTACTGGCCGGGGTGGGCCTGGCCTCAGCAGGGACTGGTCTAATGAGTTTTCCCTTGTGCCTTTCCAGGATGCCAGCCAGGGAGAAGCCAGAGCTGAGACCCAGTCGTGATACAGGTGAGCAGGGAGCCCCCCCCCCGCCGCCCTGCCCCACTTCTCACCCACACCTCGCTGGGGGACCCCCCCCCAAGCCGCCACCAAACCACACTCCACCTCCAAGATCCCCACTCAGTCTCTCCAGCACCCTTGGGACAAGGTTCAGGCTCCTGAGCAGGGGGCCCAAGACCCTTCATAAACTCACACTTAACTTGCTCTGCCGGTGCCCTACCGCTTCAACCACGCCTCCCTCCTGGCTTTTGGCTGGTTAGTCAAAGATAAAAGTCTCTTGGGGCTTTCTTGCCTCTTCCTCCTCCTCTCCCTCGCCCCCCCCATCTCTGGGGCTGGCTTTGAACATCAATCCTCAGATCTCAGCTTCCTGAGACGCTGGGATTACAGGCGTGAGCCATTATGCCCCGCCTCTCACTGTCTTTCTTGACTTCATCCCTCACAAGTCCACAAACTGAGCGTGTGTGTGTGTGTGTGTAGCCAAGCCAAGTGTGGTTCCTCGAGCTGGGTCAGCCTCCTACAGGCCCCAGGAGGGCATGGAGGTAGAGCAAGCCCAGGGCCCCTTCTGTCCTCTGTCTAGGTGACAGCAACGTGTATGAAGTGATGCCATCCCCAGTGTTGCTCCTGACCCCAGCTACGGTGAGTCTATCCTGAGTCTTTTTTTTTTTTAATTTGGTGCCTGTCCTGAGTCTTGAACTCAGGGCCTGGGCACCATCCCTGACCCCTTCCATTCAACGCTGGTGCTCGAACACATGAGCCACAGCTCCACCTCCAGCTTTCTGGCAGTTCCTTGGAGATAAGAGTCTCAAGGACTTTCCTGCCCGGGCTGGCTCGGTACCGGGATCCTCAGTTCTCAGCCTCCTGAGTAGCTGAGATTACAGGCGGGAGCCACTGGGCGGGAGCTGGCAGGCAGCTCTATTTTCTGTCTGTGATCACCTGTGATCCTGAGATTTTCCCTGTATTATGGGAAAGCAAAGAGGCGGGAAGAGTGAGTAAAATAAATGGTTTTAATTCTTTTTTTTAAAGGAGAAATCTAGGGCTGGGAAGGTGGCTCAGTGGTAGAGCGCTTGCCTTGCACGCATGAGGCCCTGAGTTCGATTCCTTAGCATCACATAAGCAGAAAAAGCTGGAAGTGGTGCCATGGCTCAAGTGGTAGAGCACCAGCCTTGAGCTGAAGAGCTGAGGGACAGCGCCCAGGCCCAGAGTTCAGGCCCCATAACCGACAAAAAAAAAAAGAGAGAGAGAGAAAAAAAAATGTACCAAGCAAAGGCTTAGCCAGGCATAATGGGGCTGGAGCAGGAGGATGGCAAGTTCTAGGCCCTATCTCCAAAACAAAATAACAGCTAGGTGCTGGTAGCTCACACCTGTAATTCCAGCTACACTGGAGGCTGAGATCTGAGGATCATGGTTTGAAGCCAGCCTGGGCAGAAAAGTCCAGGAGACTCTTATCTCCAATGAACCAGCAAAAAGCCTGAAGTAGAGCTGTGGTCCAAGTGGAGGATTAGTCTTGAGCACAAAAGCAAAGGAAGAGTGCTCAGGTGCTGAGTTCAAGGTCCAGGACCGACACACATACACGCACGCGCATGCCCACACACACACACACACTCACACACACACACAGGTAAACAGGGCTGAGGTGGGGCCGGTGGACAGCTTCCCCCTCCCCCTGCCCCAGACATTAAGGACACTGAGCACTAATGGACACAGCACCCAGATCATGTGGACCGCAGGGGCTGAGGCTGGGGATATTGGGGGGCCTGGCTCACCCATGTTCTTCTCTTGCAGCCCCCACTTCCTGAGCCACAGCCACAGCCAGAACCCCAACACTACCAGGTACAAAAGGGGGTGCCTTTTGGAGCCAGGGTGGGTGAGGACAGTCAGGGTGGGGGGGGGGGCTACGCTCACCCTGGGGGATCCCCGAGGGTCCTGGGCATGCCCGTCCCTCCCAGGTGTTGGATTTACACCAAAGGAACAAGGCCCAGAGAGGGAAAGACACCGGCCCCGGGTCACACAGCAGCGGGTTGGTTCCCCCAATGTGGACTAGGCCTCAGGCCCGCTCCACCCCTCTTGCCAAGTGGGAAGGCAAAAGTAGAGACAGCTCAAGTGTGCAAGGCCTCGGGTTCAAAGCGCAGCATCCCACAAAGAGAAACACACTGTCCGGTCTGCCCCTATGTGTCTCTGGCCCTGTCCCGCACCCCCATCTCTCCCCGTGGGGTTCTCTGGCATCCTGGCTGTCTGCACCCCACCCCCATCATGGCTTCCTCTCTGCCACCCAGGACTTGCTCAACCCCGACCCAGCCCCTTACTGTCAGCTGGCGCCAACTGCCTGATGGCGCAGCCCCCACCATCTTCTGGGGGTGAACAGGGGCACCACAGCCAAGGCTGCAAGGACCTGGGCTCCAGCGTGGGGGCCCCCCCGAGGGGATGGGACAGCACGGCCCGGCTCCCCCAGCCCCCCAGACTCCCTCCACCACACAGGGGTGAGGCCCATAGCTGACTCCGCCCACCCCCCAAAAGCTGCAGCGCCCTCAAAATTCATTCTGAAGGTGGGACACGGTGCTCATGCCTGTAATCCCAGCTGCTCAGGAGACAGATCATGGTTCAAAGCCAGCCCAGAAAGGAAAGCCTGTGAGACTCTGATGTCCAATGAACCAGAGAACAATTCACCAGGGACGCTATGGCTTGTGTGGCACAGCACCAGCCTTGAGCACAGAAGCTCAAGAACAGCGCCCAGGCCCTGAGTTCAAACCCCAGGACTGCCACAACATAAATAAATCATTAATCATTAACGCATGGATTGTGTGGGGTGGAAAATTATACCTCCATAAAACTTGTTTAGGAGGCCAGGCGTTCGTGGCTCACGCCTGTCATCCTAGCTACTCAGGAGGCTGAGATCTGGGGATCATGGTTCAAAGCCAGCCGGGACAGGAAAGGTCGTGAAATTCTTATCTCCAATAAACCATCAGAACACCAGAAGTGGTGCTGTGGCTCAAGTGGTAGAGTGCTTGCCCTGAGCGAAAGAGCTGAAGGACAGCGCCCGAGCCCAGAAATCAAGCCCCACGACTGATCAAAAACAAAAACTTACTTTGGAGCCAGGTGCTGTGGCTCCAGCCTGTCATCCTGGCTGAGATATGACACCATCCAGACCCTGAGTTCAAGCCCCACAACTGACGAAGAAAAAAAAACTGTTCTGGAAAAAAAAAAAAACAGGGTTTGGAGGCGTGGCTCAGGTGGTCACGCACCAGCCAATGAGTGAAAGCGTCAGGTACTGAATTTTAGGCCCAGTCTCAGACAAAACCCACAAAACAACAGGAGGGAAGGAAGTGGTGGCTGAGACCAGTCTGGAGTCCATGGGAGCTGTGGGAGGGAAGGGAGCAGCAGGCCCCTGGAGGCCAGGCTTGAGGTGCTGGGGTCAGATGTGGTGACCCTGACACTTTGTCATCCCAGAATGGTGAGGGCTCCTGGCCATGGGCAGGATGGACTTCCACCTGCGGCCAGCAGGGGGCAGCAGAGACCACGACCATCTCCAGTGAGGGTGTGTGTGTGTATGTGTGTGTGTGTGTGTGTGTGTGTGTGTGTGTGTGTGTGTGTGTGTGTGTGTGTGTCCCTCCTCCTCCCTCCCCCTCACACACTGTTGTAAGATAAATCATCCCAGAAACCACACTTTAAAATACAGAATATTGGAGCTGTATTATACAGTTAACAGGCTGCAGGCCGCCAGTTGTTACCAAGGCTTGTAGCATGCAAATACACATAACACAGCTAGGAAACATGCTAAAGAGGAAAGAGATAACCAAAACAATACCAACAAGCCAATTCAGCTCCAATGGAGAGCTGACTTGGGACGCCATGCTGACTGGAGATGAGCCAGGAGACAGGACACAGGACACGATCACAGAGACACATGTGGCATGGAGTCCCAGCGGCTAGGCTGGTCTGGGCCTAAATAGGTCTGGGCAGGGGGCAGATCCTCAGGACATTCCCAGTCTCAGGCACTGGACTGACAGATTCAGTAACCTATCAGCCAAGGGGCTGGGAAGGTGGCTTAGTGGTAGAGCGCTTGCCTTGCATGCCAGAGGCCCTGGGTTCGGTTCCTCAGCACCACATAAGCAAAAAGAAAAAAGCCGGAAGTGGCGCTGTGGCTCAGGTGGTAGAGCGCTAGCCTTGAGCTGAAGAGCTGAGGGACAGTGCCCAGGCGCAGAGTTCAGGCCCCACAACCGGACCCAAAAACACAAAAAAACAAACCTACCAGCCAAGTGCCTGCCCCTGCCTCCAGGGATCCGAGCCGGCACATTACCTGCAAGGCAGGTGATGGGGGGGTCCTTCCCCCAGCAGGGAGACCCTACCGTCCACCATGTGGCCAATATGGCACTGACCTCCTTACTTCAACACCAGCCCCCTCCATGCTCAGCTCATTAAACCTCCCGACCCCAGGTCCTTTACACATTCTTCCCCCCCATATCCACAGGCTCCTGCTCACCTCTGGAGGAAGGTGGGCCCCCTCTCCCACCTGCTGCCTGGTTTTCTGGGGTCTTCTCCCACTCTTTCCCACTACCTGACTTTAGGTGTCAGGTTTTGTTTTGTTTTGTTTGGCCAGTCCTGGGGCTTGAACTCAGAGCCTGGGCACTGTCCCTGAGCTTCTTTTGGCTCAAGGCTGGCACTCTACCACCTGAGCCACAGCGCCACATCAGGCTTTTTCTGTGTATATAGTACTGAGGAACCGAACCCAGGGCTTCATGCCTGCGAGGCGAGCACTCTACCGCTGAGCCGCCTTCCCAGCCCTGTGTGTCCTTGTCTTTTTGAAGATGAAGGTTCGTTCGATGATGGGGTGAAGCCCCAGCCTTGTCTGTAGGGAGGCCATGGAAGAAGACAAGGCCCAGCCTCCCCCCTCCCCCCAGCCCCCCTCCCCTCCATCCCTCCCCACCCCGCCTCCACACGTGAGGGAGGAATGATTGGAAGGAGGACTGGATTCCCTTCTCCCAGCCTGCAGCCACGCCCATCCCCGGAGGCCACGCCCCATTCCCGAGGCCACGCCCCTCTCAAACCCCAGTGACTAGGGAGGAGAGGAAAGGCCCCACCACCACGCAGCCTGGCTCCATCTCCAAGACAGATATTGATAAAGCCAGTGATGGGGGGGGCAGGCACCCCCTCCCAGAACTCCCCAGGGGACTGGTGAGATAAGGGACAAAATAAGGTCACCGGGCTGTGTCCCCAGATGGCCCAGCAGAAAATTACCTGCTGCCTCATGGCCAGGCCGTGGTCCTGAGCCTTGGTCTCCTCTGCAGCCTGGCTTCTTAGGGTTGGGCTGGGGTAAAGCCACCATGGCAGAGACCCCACCTCCACCCCCCCCCCAGCTCCTGTGGAGGCTGGGGCAGGAGGAGGGTTCGGGGCCAGGAGTCTCCAGATCAGCCTGGGCAACCTCGTGAGACCCAGGTCTAGGACTGTCAGAGAGAGATCAGGACAGCCAGACCACCAGTCTGCTTTGCTTGTTGGTTGGTGTTTTTGTTTTGTTTTTGTGCCAATCCTGGGGCTTGAACTCAGGGCCTGGGCTCTGTCCCTGAGCTTTTTCACTCAAGGCTGGTGCTCTACCACTTGAGCCACAGCATCACCTCCAGTTTTCTGGTGGTTCATTGGAGATTAGAGTCTCACGGACTTTCCTGGCCCGACTGGCTTCAAACCACGATCCTCAAGATCTCAGCCTCCTGAGTAGCTCGGATGACAGGTGTGCGTTACAGGCACCTGGCCCACCAGTCTGCTTTTGCCGCAGGGGTTCTATGAAGCCACTGGGGGGGGGGCCCACAAAAGATTCATGGTGAAAACCCTGAATTTTCTCCCAAGGGACTGGGGGTTGGGGAGCCACAGCAAGATATGAGCAAAGGAAAGACAGGAGCTTCTGTTTTAATTATCATTATTTTTAGCTGGGAGCTGCTCAGGAGGCTGAGACCTGGGGATCTCAGTTCGAAGCCAGCCTGGTCAGAAAAGCCCCCAGGAGACTCTTATCTCCAGTGAACCACTCAAAAACTACAAGTGGAGCTGTGGCTCAAGTGGTAGAGTGCTAGCCTTGAGCAAAATTGCTCAGGAATGTACCCAGGTCCTGAGTTCAATTCTCACCACCAACCAAAAAATAAATTAGCTGGGAATGTGGCTCAGTGGTCGAGTGCTTGCCTAGCATGCATGAAGCCCTGGGTTCGATTTCTCAGTACCACATGAAAAAATAAAATAAAGTAAAATATTATTATTTTTTAATTCTTTTAAGCAGAATTCTAGGGTGTTTTTTTTTTAATCTTTTTGTTGCTGCTTGACACTGAGCCGTGCTCTGTGGCACAAGCTCACTCGTGATCTTCCTGCCTCAGCCTGCCAAGTGCTGGGATTACAAGCATGCGTCACCACGCCCAGCTCAGGTTTCTGTTTGAGAAAGACTCTCTCTCTCTCTCTCTCCCTCTCTCCCTCTCTCCCTCTCTCCCTCCCCCCCTCTCTCTCTGCGCTCTGGGGGAGGGAAGGGACCCTGGAAATGGGGGCTTGGAAGGGTGGCAGAAAGACAACCCAAAGCTGCCTGGAACAGGATGAGGGTGGAGGGAGAGAAAGAAGGGAGAAGGAGAAGAGGCCCGTGTAAGTCACTGCGCCTTCCCTGATAAGAGGCCTGGCCGGGGTGCCCAGGGCGATCGGGGACAGGTGAGTCACAGGAGCCCAGGGACATTGGAGAGACATCATCACAGGTTCTGGGACTCAGTCCCAGGGCTAGGACTGGACGGGGTGAGGTGAGGTTGCAGGTGGGGAGGGCAACAGTCCCCTCCCCTGCCCCCCCCCACCAAAGAGGGCGGCCCGGGACACAGCACACGTGGGAGCCAGCCAGGACAGGTGAGGCAGGCATGGCCTCCCGCCCGGAGCCGGGTGTCCACAGGTCCAGAGAGGCGCCAGGACCCAGAGCCATCAATATCTGGTACCGCTCGGATGGCAGGAAGTCCCCGCCAGCTCAGAGCCCTCCCCAGAACCCCTCTGCCACCCCAGTGTAATCCACAGACCCCCCCCACAATCCCCACCCTTCCTTTTTTCCTTTAAGTCGGTCGTGGGGCTTGAACTCCAGGCCTGGGTGCTGGTCCTGAGCTCTTTTGCTCAAAGCCAGCACTCAATCACTTTGAACCACAGCTCTGCTTCCAGTTTTCTGGTGGTTCAATGGAGATAAGAGTCTCATAGGCTTTTCTGCCCAGGCTGGCTTTGAACCGTGATCCTCAGCTCTCAGCCTCCTGAGTAGCCAGGATGACAGGCGTGAGCCACCAGCTCCCAAATCCCCGATTAATCCCCCATTTCCCCAACTCCTAGCAAATACACTCCTCTTTTCATTTTTATTTTTTTATTGTGTGTCAGTCTCAGGTCCCGGGTGCTGTCTCTGACTTTTTCATTCCAGGCTGGTGCTTTACTGCTTGAGACCCAGCTCCAGTTCTGGGATTTTTTAAGTGGTTCATTCAAGATAGGAATCTCCTAGAAAACCAGGCCCCAGTGGCTCATCTCTGTCTTCCTAGCTACTAAGGAGGCTGAGATATGAGGATTGTAGTTCGAAGCCAGCCGGGGCAGAAAAGTTCCCATGAGACTCTTTTCTCCAATTAACTACTCAAAATAAAACACCAAAGTGGAGCGGTGGCTCACAGTGATAGAGCACTAGCCTTGAGCAAAAGAGCTCAGAGTTCAGAGACAACCACCCAGGCCCTGAGTTCAAGCCCCAGGATGGATCCAAAAAAAAAAAAAGGCTCATGGACTTTCTTGCCCAGGATGGCTCCGAACCTATGACCCTCAGATCTGAGCCTCTTCATTTGTAAAAGGTTCTGACCTCCAGAGTCATTTGTTTGTGATGGAAACCAAGGCCTTTGAATCCTAGGCAAGTGCTCCTCCATTGAGCACCCCCAGTTGCCCCCAAGCACGTCCACCTTCCTTCCCATCCCTGTCCCCTGAGACCACATCTGGGTTTTACCTGGAGAGCAGAGGGGGGGAGAGCCACCCGCCACTGCTCACCCCTGCCTTGCCCCTCCATGATGGTGACCATGGCCCCCACGCAGGCCACGGGGTGGCCCTGGAGCCCTGCAATCTTGCCCTGTCCCTTCTTCTCCCTCCCTCCTGATGACCTGGTTCTTCTCCCAGCACCAAATCTGGGCCTTTGGCACCGGCAGGTTTAGGCAGCGGCCCCAGGAGGCCTGGCCGGGTCGTGGCCTTTGGCTGTTCCTGCCACGCCCGCCCTGGTCCCCAAATGGGGCCTCAGATCTTTGGTGACTTGATCCCTCCAAATTCAGGTGACCTCCCCAGCTCCAAATTGCCGAGCCCTCTCAGGTCCGGGGGCAGACGCAGCCGAGCACCGGCCAGGAAGGGCCTGCGGGGTCTGTGGGTGCGGCACCCCAACACCATCATCGCCAAGAGCCAAGAGCAGCCGGGGGGCTGGAAGATGGCGCCGGCCCCGTGCCTCTGTCTCCTCTTGAGTGGTGAGCAAGGAACAGCCCAGCCTCTTCAGACCCCTCAGGGAGCCCAGGGAAGGGGGGACCCAAGCAGGCTGGGGAGGGAGAGTCTCTCAAGAGACCCCCGGCTGGGCAGCACCACCACAGAGATACCAGGAGTTGGGGGGGGGACACTGGGGGCTTTGAGGACCAGACAAGGGTGGCCCCAGCACCCAGGCTCCTATGACAAACCCCAGTGCAGCAAGGGAAGCCTGGCTAGCATCGGGGTTCCCTTCCCTGAGGATGGGGCTTTGGGGTGGTTGCAGCCTGAGCCTCAGCCTCTCACCCTCAGCCCGTCAGGATGTGTCAAGGTCATTTGAAGGTCGCAAGGGCAGTATGTGTCCCTGAACTCTCCCTGGGCTAAAGGACCTTATTTTGCAGACAGGGAAACTGAGGCTCAGAGAGGGGAGGCCCCTGCCCAGGGACTGACAGCACAGAGTGGCAGAGCCTCTTGCTGGACCCAAAGCTCCTCTCCCCCAACCACGCTGTTTCACCTCATTCAGCTCTCAAACCAGCCCTTGGAGGGGTGGGGTGCGGGTATCTGGGCTTCTCTGTCCCCTGGGTGGTGGGGTACAGTGGTCCCATCCCTGCTTGTGGCACCTACAAGGCCTGACCTGGGCATCAGGACCTGGAACTGCTAATAAGGGGCTGTAGTGTAGGGCATGGTGGTGCCTTCCTGTAATCCCAGCACGCCAGAGGCTGAGGCAGGCGGATCCTGAGTTTGAGACCACCATAATAAAATTTAAAAAAAATAATTCATGGGGCTAGGAAGGTGGTTCAGTGGTAGAGTGCTTTCCTTGCATGCCTGAGGCCCTGGGTTCAATTCCTCAGCACCACATAAGAAAAAAGAAAAAAGCCGGAAGTGGCGCTGTGGCTCAAGTGGTAGAGCGCTAGCCTTGAGCTGAAGAGCTGAGGGACAGTGCCCAGACCCAGAGTTCAGGCCCCACGACCGGACCCAAAAAATAATAATAATAATTCATGTGTATATATGTATGGGGGGCACTTTAAGCCTCGTCCTGGACCCTCTTCCTTGGGAGGTCCCCTAAATCCCCCAGTTTTCTGCTTTGTGAAGCACTTAGTAGGCACCAGCTGTGTACCAAGCCTCAGGCTGGATCTTTGTTCCAAGCCATTCAATTCTCCACCCACCCCCCAAGAAGAGAGAGAAGCCAGGCAGACTCCAATTAAGAATTTGTAGGTGGTTCCTTGCAAAGGACCAGCAAGCTGCAGGTTCGAATCCCATCCAACTGTGCCTGACCCCGGTCCTCTCTTTTCTCAGCTCTGATCCTGAATGTCGGGGCTGAAATCTCCATCACCCCCCAGCCGGCCCAGCCAGCCGAAGGGGACAATGTGTCGCTGGTGGTCCGCGGGCTCCAGGGGGAGCTGCTGGCCTACAACTGGTACGCGGGGCCCACGCTCAGCCTCACCTACCTGGTGTCCAGCTACATCGTGAGCACGGGGGACGAGACCCCTGGCCCAGCCCACACAGGACGGGAGGCTGTGCGCCCCGACGGCAGCCTGGACATCCAGGGCGCCCTGCCCAGCCACTCTGGCACCTACATCCTGCAGACACTCAACCGGCAATTTCAGACCGAGGTGGGCTACGGACACATGCAGGTCTATGGTGAGACACTCCCATTGGTCCTTCCCAGCCGGCCAGGCTTTCTCTCCTCCTTCTCAAACCTTTGGGGGAGGGGGGTGTCAGCCTGGACAGGAAAGTCTGTGAGACTCTTGTCTTCAATAAGCTACTCAGAAAATGTCGCAAGTGGAGCTGTAGCTCAAGAGCTAGAGCGTCATTAGCCTTGAGCCAAAGAAGCTCAGGGACAGCGCCCAGGTCCTGAGTTCAAGCCCTATGACCTGCACCAAAAAGAGAAAAAAAATTAAAGGCAGAAAAAGAAAATTAAAAAAACAAAACAAAAAACACCCCCACCCCCCAAAAAAACAAAAAACCATTGAAATGTTTGACTGCCTCCAGGATGGCTTCCAGGATTTCAACCTGCCTTATAAACTCTAATTCTTGTGTCTTCTCCACAAAGATGCAGTCATGCCCCTAAGGGCCACACCCCAAAGCCACGCCTTCACCCGCAGGCCACGCCCCCACCTTTGGGCCACGCCCCCACGCAGATCACCCCTCATTCTCATGCCCACTTTGACCATGTCCCCATTAAAGACCAAGTCCACGGTCGACCACGCCCAGCATCTGGCCACGCCCACTCACTAGGCCATGATCTCTCCCATAGGCCTGGCCTGCTCTGACCACGCCCCCATCCCAGACCATGAGCATCCCAGGCCACTCCTTGTTTGTGGGCCATCCCCCACCGTGTGGCCACACCCATGCTGTAGGCCACGCCCCCTTCCCCAGGCCTGAAGCTGCCCCCCAGAGCAGGTGGTGCCCGGTCCCCTCCCCCTCTGCCTCTCCCTCCACAGAGATCCTGGCTCAGCCCAAGGTCATAGCCAACAACTCGGCCCTGGTGGAGCGGCGGGACACTCTGCGTCTGACCTGCAGTAGTCCCAGCCCGGCTGAGGTCCGTTGGTTCTTCAATGGTGGCACCCTGCCTGTTCCTGTCCGCCTTGGCCTGTCCCCAGATGGCCGGGTGCTGACCCGGCGGGGGGTGCTGAGGGAAGAGGCTGGGGCCTACCAGTGTGAGGTGTGGAACCCCGTGAGCATCAGCCGCAGCGAACCCCTCAACCTGACCGTGTACTGTAAGTCCTCTTGAGCCCCAGAATCACTGTCTCAGATGGGGAAACTGAGGCGGGGAGGGGGAAGCCATGGGCGTGGGCTCAGTCAGCAGGCAGTCCTGGGGGAAGAACCTAACAGGATTAAGGAACCCTGGCCCTGATGAGCCACCTAGGACCTCGAGTAACCCTTTAGTCAGGAGCAAAATACTTCAGCTGAGCATGGTGGCGCATGTCTGTAGTCCTGGTACCCAGGAGGCTGAGGAGGGAGGATTGTGAGTTCTAGGCCAGCCTGGGCTAATTAAGGAGTTCAGGGTCAGCCTAGGTTTGCATAGTGAAACCTTCAGAGGACCCTGGAGTCCATGTCCTCGAAAGGACACAAGAGGCAGGAATGGTGGAGGGACAAGACTGAACATCCGGCAGCCCCCACACAGCACCTTGTGGCATAGATAAAATCCCAGGAGGGAAAATAAACCCACTGAGCTCCATGAGGATGGGTGATCTAGGAAACCTAAGATCAGAGGATTCCAGAATCTTCCAGCAAGACCCTTCAATACCTCAGCTTGCTCTGGGCTCTTGTGCTCACACCTGTAATCCCAGCTTCTTAGGAGGCTGAGATCTGAGGACCACCATTCAAAGGCAGCCTGGGCAGTGCCTGAGACTCTTACCTCTAATGAACCACCACCAAAAAAGTCAGAAGTGGAGCCGTAGCTCAAGTGGTAGAGCACCAGCTCTGAGTTCAAGTCCCAGTCCTGGCCCAAATTTAAAAGAAGAATAGAAATAAAATAGAAACCACCCTGGAGTGAGTCAGAGACTAAGTGGATTCCACAAAGGCAGGAATTCTTGCTTCCCCAGCCCCTGGCTGTGGGGTAGAAAGCTCTGGGGAGCACTTCTGCACTCCAGCCCTCCACCCCTTTCTCTCTCTCCATGCTGCCCCCCCCCCACATACACACCAGTTGGACCTGAGCGCGTGGCCATCCTGCAAGATTCCACCACACGCACTGGCTGCACCATCAAGGTGGACTTCAACGGGTCGCTGGGGCTGTGGTGTGTGGCCCGCTCCTGCCCCGAGCCGCAGTACGTGTGGGCCTTCAACGGGAAGGCCCTGAGCAGCGGCGGCGCACAGCTCAACATCTCCAGCATGACAGCCGCCCACGAGGGCACCTACACGTGCATCGCCAAGAACCCCAAAACCCTGCTGTCGGGGTCTGCCTCCGTGGTGGTCAAGCTCTCTGGTGAGTCTTTCCTCTCCCCATGCCCCCTGGCCATCAGCCACCCAGCACCTGGCCATGTGGTCCTGCCACACATGCCCCCCCCCCTTGCTGGGAACACAACCGGAAGTCACTGCCATTGGTGGATGGAAAAGCTTCACTTCTGACCTCGGGGGAGGGAGAGGGGAGAGCAAGAAGAGATTTGGGTGGGTATGGAACTATTGGGGAGTGGGGGGGGGTCCTAGAGGGTTCTGACCGCCCCCTGTAAGGGGGCTTTGGGAGGGGTGGCTTTGAACATTAGGACTTTGTTAATTCTACCTGGGTTTCTCTCCTAAATGGTGATCATCGCCCCCCCCCCAGGGGGGAAGGAGGGCAGCAGGATGGTCCTCCCCCTCCTTCTGTGCTCCGCCCTTCCCTCCCCCTACACAGGCTGGGTCTCACCCCAAGGGGGGGACAAATAAACCCCAGAGCAGAGATGGTGATGGGGGCCACAGAGGTAAGTCTACCACCCACCCAGGGCCACGGCAGGAGACACGGGAGGGTCAGATGGCTTCTGGGGAGCCCCCAGCCCTGGCTGAGTAGGTCAAAAACAGAAGAGACAGAGACAGACAGAGACTGACTCTATGATTCCCTTCCTGGGGGAGAGGCTAGTCAGATGGTAGAGACCTGGCCTCATTCAAGGAGCTGCCAGTCCAAGAGAAGAGGCCATGCTCACCCTCCATCCCTGGGTGTGCTTCTGTTCTGATGGAGGAGACACAATGAGGAGAATATTCCTAGTCTGATGAGGGAGGCCCATTTTCCACCACTGGGGTACTCCCAATCTGATGGGGGAGTACTGGCCCCCCCTCTTTCTAGGAATTTCTCATCTGATAGGATAGGCCTGTTTCTCCCCTTAATTAATCAATCAACAAACAAACCTGGGATTCCCCAAGCTGCAATAGTATGGAGTTTTCCAGTCTGATGGGGGAGACACGGCCTCCTCCCTCTTGAATCTTTGAATCTGAGGAGGAATTGGGTGCCCCACATGCTGCGGGGGGGGGGGGCTTGACCTAACAACACCCACATGGTATGGGGGGTCACAAATTCTAAGCCTCTGTTGTGGAGAGATGCCAACCACCACCACCCCCTAGTCTAGAATTTCCAATCTGATGGAGGAGACAGACCCTGACCCCTTTAGGGTGTTCATGTGACAGAAGAGACACTGGTTTGGGGGAGATGCTGCTTTTGGTGACCTACCTCCCCATGCCCACCGCCCTCTGCCTCTCTCCCAGCACCCCCATGGGCAGTGCCAGTCAGACGGGGGAGGCTGGAGTCCGTGGAGTCAACTCTCTGTCTCCCCAGCGGCGGTGGTGGCCATGATGATCGTGCCGGTGCCCACGAAGCCCACGGAAGGCCAGGACGTGACGCTGACCGTGCAGGGCTACCCCAAGGACCTGCTGGTGTACGCCTGGTACCGCGGGCCGGCCGCCGAGCCCAACCGGCTGCTCAGCCAGCTGCCGTCGGGGAACTGGATCGCCGGGCCGGCGCACACCAGCCGCGAGGTCGGCTTCGCCAACTGCTCCCTGTTCATCGCCAAGCTCAACCTGACCGACGCCGGCCGCTACACCCTCAAGACCGTCACCCTGCAGGGCAGGACGGACACCCTGGAGGTGGAGCTGCAGGTGGCTCGTGAGTGTGCGGGGTAGGGGGTGGGTGGGTGGGGGAGAAACACGCCTGCCTCCTCCATCTGACTAGGTCAGAGGGCAGAGGCCTCCTCCACCAGACTGGAGAGACATCCCCCCAGGGGTGTCTGGCCGCTGCCACCCTCCTTCCCCCCGCACTTGGAAGAGGTTCACAGGGTGAGGGCAGGCATCTTCTGCAGCTCATTGGACTCCCAAGATGGTTTCACCCCTTCTGCTATAATTGGGGGGCTGAGCGCCTGGTGAGTGTGTGTCTCCCCCACCCAGCTGGAGACGGAGCACAGGGTGCCACAGGGACCTCAGTGGGCCTACACGATGGGGCCACCTCTTTTCCTTCCTACCATGGGAAGAGTGAGGGCAACAGCCTCCTCCATCAGACTGGGAGCTCCCAGGAAATTAGGGACTGTGTCTCCTCCATCAGACTTGGACTTCCCAGAAAGTTAGGGACTGTATCTCCTCCATCAGACTGGGAGCTTGCAGAAAAGTAGGGGTCAGGTCTCCTCCATCAGACTGGGAGCTCCCAGAAAACTAGAGACTGTGTCTCCTCCATCAGACTGGGAGCTCCCAGAAAGTTAGGGACTGTGTCTCCTCCATCAGACTGGGAGCTCCCAGAAAGCTAAAGACCGTGTCTCCTCCATCAGACTGGGAGCTTGCAGAAAACTAGGGGTCATGTCTCCTCCATCAGACTGGGAGCTCCCAGAAAACTAGAGACTGTGTCTCCTCCATCAGACTGGGAGCTCCCAGAAAGTTAGGGACCATGTCTCCTCCATCAGACTGGCAGCTCCCAGAAAGTTAGGGACCATATCTCCTCCATCAGACTGGGAGCTCCCAGAAAGCTAAAGACCGTGTCTCCTCCATCAGACTGGGAGCTCCCAGAAAGTTAAGGACCATGACTCTTCCATCAGATTGGGAGCTCCTAGAAAATTAGGGGCCATGTCTCTTCCATCAGACTGGGTGCTCCCAAAACTCAGACAGGCCTGCTCAGTAGAATGGTGCGTTAGAAGGTCACTCAGATCCTGGGAAGCAGGCCATTTCCCAAGTCTGGAGTCTTGCCTCCCCCATCAGATTCTCAGGAGTCCTGTGACTGAGTCAAGGGTGTTTCTGCCTCAGACTGGAAGCTTCCAGGCTCTGCCCCCCCCATCCCCTTTAGACAGCCTTCCTCCTCAGTGTGTGTTGGAATGTGGATGATCGGTGGGAAGGCCAGCAGCCATCACCAGCCAAGCTGAGGACGGAGGCCAGGGATGGAGGGGGGGCCAGGACTGGGGGGGGGGCCTGGGGTTGTGGGGGGGGCACCGGGGCCTTACCTTGTCTCTCCTCCCAGTCAGGCTCCTCCCTGGCTCCAGGACACGGAACTTGGCAGCTGCCTGGCCCTGGCACCGGCTGAGCAGGGGTGGGGGGTGGGGGGGAGGCCAGGCTGGGGTAGGGGGACAACAGGATGGGGGGGCACCAGGGGTGGCTCCCCCATTTAGCTGATGGCCTGGTCTCCTGCCCCATCCTCTCCCACAGCCCTGGAGTAGCAGCCGGCCAGCTCACCTGGGACCCCTGGGGGAAGAAGAGCTCACTGCGGCGCACCCCCCGACCCCCTTGACCGCAGGACCACTGGCTCCCCAGCCTGTCCTTGCTGGGGGGCCGCCTGCTCTGCCTCCACTAGCTAGAGCCCGCAGCGCCCCACTCCTCCCCCACCCCGAGCTGTCAGAGAGCCTCGCTGGCCATAAACGTCCTGGTTCACGCAGCTGGTTCACGTATCGTCTCTTTCCTGTCCCGCTCCGGATCTGACAACCTTCTGGGCCCACGCATGCCCACCGTGGCCCAGACCTCAGTACCCCAGGCTCCACCGCTGCATGGCGGTTCCCAGGCCTCCCTACGGCTCCCCAGGTTATATCCCGGGTTGGGGGTAGGGGGAGGACAAGACCCTTTAATCAGAGCCAGGTAATGGGAAAAGGGGGTCCCAGTATCCCCACGCTACACCTCACTCCATCACTGGGCTCTGGAAGGTTCCAGCACCTTCTGGCCCACACCTAGTTACGATGGTCCTTTGCTGCATTGTTTTGGGGTCCCCGCTGTGTACACCTCCAACCACACCACTCTTCACCCACCCCAGGTCCCAAGACTCAGTAACGCGCAGGAGAGACGGGGTAGCATTTCTTCTCTGGCTAGTAAGAGACATGGGAAATAGTACCTCACACCTGTAATCCCAGCTATTCAAGAAGCTGAGATCTGAGGATCACAGTCCAAAGCCAGCCCAAAGCGGGAAAGTGAACAAGATTCTTAACCCCAATGAACCATCAAAAAGCTGGAAGTGGAACTGTGGCTCAAGTGGTAGAGCGCCAGCCTTAAGGAAAAAACAAACACACAAACTGAGGGACAGCACCTAGGCTCTGAGTGCAAGCCCCAGAACTGGCACTAAAACAAGGGTCCCTAAGACAGAAGATAGCTGGTATGCCTGTGTGTGTGTGTGTGTGTGTGTGTGTGTGTGTGTGTGTGTGTGTGTGCGTGTGTGTGTGTGTGTGCGTGTGTGTGTGTGTGTGTGTGTGTGTGTGTGTGTCCCATGTGGTCACATGTCTGCTCTGGCCGCAAAGGACTCTGGGACATGTAGTCTTTCCCTTGGGCTCTGATTTTTAATGATGGTCATGGAGAATGCATCCCTCAGTGGGTAGCTGGCAAGTTGGGCCATGGGCCACTGACCTCCCAACTGGACAGAAAAAATAAAAAGAGAAAGGCTTTTGTTCCCTGCCCCCTCCCCCCCGGGTGACAGTCATACCCAGAGTAGAACTGCAGAGCCAGCCTGGAGGGCTGCATGCGACCTGGGTACAAGAACCAGGCCAGTGGGAGGGAGAGACAAGAGGCCACTCAGGTTTCTAGGTCAAGACAGGTATCTTATCTTCAGGGAGGGGGGCATCAGGTGTCCCCAGGAGCCTGTCTCTCTGGGGGTGCCACTGGATCCTTCGTCCTCCGCCCAGGACACAGCTGCCTACCCACCAGCCAGGTTTTCACAGGCATATCACTGGCTGGAGCTTTTCCACCATCCAAGGAGAGAGGTGCTGTGATTGCCTCTGTTGTAGTCAAGCTGGGCAAAGGCCCTGAGTCCCAGAGATTCCCCAGGAAGAGCCCTGAGGCCACACACCCGACCAGCGCCCCCTCTCTGCAGCCTGCGGAATTGCAGGAGCGGGAGCCACATTTTTCAGCTCTCCATGCCTCAGATTCCATCCCTGCCAAACAGGGAGATCTCTGGGAGGAGGAGGAGAACAACGACTTGTACATAAACTTGTACCTAGTCAGGATTTAGCCCAGAGATGGCAAGACACCAGGCAGAGACACACAGCAGGTTTCCAGCTGAGGGCTGACCCTGGGCCGCCTCTGTCCAGGGGAGCCGCTCATGGCTCCATCTGCTTCACGCTTGGAGCACTAACCCAGGAGGAGAGCAGGACTCAGCCTCTAGGACCCTTCTGCCTCCCTCTGCCTCACCCCTCCCCTTTCCCCAAGTAACTGCGGCAGGGAGGGGAGGGCAGGGCAGGAGTGGCCCTGAGACCTTCCGAAGATAGCCCACCCCTGGCTGGAGCCCTGCCCAGGAAGGAAGCCTGCCCTGTTTTCCTACTGCACTGGAATGTGGGTTCAATATGAAAAGGCCAGAAGGTGGAGGAGGAGGAGGAGGAGGGTGAAGGAGGGGAGAGGGGAAGGGGTCAGACATGGGGGGGTGTCTCCGAGCTTCAAGGCCACCCTGAGGGCACCAGCAGAGCCAGTCTCCCCTCCCCAGCCTCCTGTCCCCCCCAACACACACACACCACCAGCCGTTGCAGGGTTTCCCCTCGGCCTGCAGACCCCTCTTCCTGCCCGGGAAGCCCCGAAACCCCCCCCCCCGTGGCCTCTTCCTCCTTCCCCATCCCCAGCTGGCTGGGGCTCCTTGAGGCCCTTCATCCAGCCAGACAAAACCCCGAAAGGGGAAGTGGGTCACCCCACCACGGGGTCAGCTCAGGACATGAGAAGCTCCCGGTGTCCCCCGCTTCCTCAGCGGCTCTGGAGGCTCCACGAGTTTCACGGGAGAAAATGGGAGACTTTATGTTCACTTGAGATTCTTCACCGGTGGGACTCGAACCCAGGTCTCCCAAGATTGGCTCAGAGGGGGGAAGGAAGATGGAGAGAACGGAGCCTGGCCCTCTGCATGGTCCCAGCCCAGATGCAGGTGGAGCTCAGAGGCTGGGGGGGGGGCGCCCACAGAGAAATCCCAGAGGACTTCCTGGAGGAGGGGACAGCTCTTCTGAGAAACACTCCCTGTGTGTGCCAAGGCCTCTGATTGACAGGACACTGAGGCTGTCCAAGCTGATCACATCTCTCCTGTTAGGAAACCCAGAAACAAACATTGGGGTGTCAGGGCCTACCCTAGTCCTACTAGGGTGTGACCCCCCCTCTCAGACCTGGGGCTCCACAGAAGGTGTTGAAGAAGGAGACCTTTGCAGGAGGACCTCAGGAGGAGGCCGGAGCCAGGTGCCAGGGAAGAGGCTGGAAGGGTGTTCCGGCACAGGGAACAGCCTGTGCGAAAAGCAGCACTCAGTTCCCCAGGGTGGCACATTTGAGAAGCTGCTCGCGGCTTCCACCTGGGCCTGCCTCCTCTCTGCCTCCCAGAGCACTGGGGAGCCATGGAAATATGGGGAACGCTGGAGAGAACAGGGGTAGCACTGACCTTTAGAAAAGACTCCCCAGCCGGGCGCCAGTGTCTCACGTCTGTCATCCTAGCTACTCAGGAGGCTGAGATCTGAGGATCGTGGTTCAAAGCCAGCCTAGGCAGGAAAGTCCATCCGACTCTTATCCCCAATAAACCACTCAGAAAACCGGAAGTGGCGCAGTGGTTCACGTGGTAAAGCGCTCACCTTGAGCTGAAGAGCTGAAGGACAGCGCCCAGGCCCAGAGTTCAAGCCCCATGGACAACAAACTAAGACACCCCGGTGCCCCGGGCAGGCAGGAGGGCACCAGGCCTCCGCCAGGGGGTCCCAGGGAACACCAGCCTCCCTTCATGGCCTTGTGGGGAGGGGGGAACCTGCTCCATGGCCATTAGGTGGCGCTGGTGAGCCAACAGCCTACCGAGGCCTGGCTAAGACCAAGAGCAGGCAGAATGGAGCCTGGGGTGGGGGGCAGGCTGAGCCACGCTGGCCTTGGGCCCTGGCCCCCAGGTAGGTGGCCCCCAAGACTGCTGCTTGCAAGAGCTGGCTGAGCAACAGGTTAGAGAGCCGGGCACCATGGCTCACATCTGTCATCCTAGCTTCTCAGGAGGCTGAGCTCTGAGGATCGTGGTTCCAAGCCAGCCCAGGCAGGAAAGTCCGTGAGACTCTTATCTCCAATGAACCAGCAGAAAACCAGAAGTGCTAGAGCGCTAATCCTGAAGGTCAGGGACAGTGCCCAGAATTGGCACACACGTGTGCACACACACACACACACAGAGAGAGACTAGATGGAGCTTCTCGATTCCCCTATCAGATTGGAAAAAACCACATCTCCCCCATCAGACCAGAAGGGAAACGTCCTCCCCACCCCTCATCCCCCCTGCAAAACCTTCTTCCTCCTTGCTTCCATCCCAGAGAGGGAAACTGAGGCCAGGGCAAGCAAAGCCTCAGTGCTCGGCGGGGCTGCGGATGCGCCCTCCCTCTACCTTGGCTCCTTCCACATACCTGTCCCGCCCCAGCCTCACACCCTGGGTAACTCCCCTGGCACAGGGACCAGGGGAATTCTGCCCCATGGCCCTTGTCTGCCCTTCTTGGCGCCGTGGAGGCGACAGGGGTTAAAGTCCGGAGCTCAGCTTGGGGCTCCCAGCGGATATGGAGGGGGGGTAGGGGGGAGAGTTGGGCCCAACCCAAGGCAGGGGAATCCCCAGAGGCCCAGCCCTCCCCCCCACGGGCCTCCATGTTCCTTCTCTTCTCCCCTCCCCTCCCCTCCTCTGGGCCCAAACTTTGGCCCTGGAATCTCCCTGTGTCCTCGGGCCTCAGTTTCTCCAGCTGGAAGGTTGTCACCCAGGCCTCTGGGAATGGCCACCTGCTGTCTGTCCAGCCCTTGGCTCTGCCCCCTGCTTACAATCGGCCTCCACTTCTTGTTGTATTATTGTGTGTGTGTGTGTGTGTGTGTGTGTGTGTGTGTCCAGTCCCGGGGCTGGAACGCAGGGCCTGGTGCTATCCCTGAGCTTTTTTATTCAAGGCTAGCCCTCTGCCATTTCAACCACAGTTCCACTTCCAAGTTTTTGCTGGCTCATGGGAGATAAGAGTCTCCTAGACTTTCCTGCCCTGAGCTGGCCTCGAACCCTGATCCTCAGAGCTCAGCCTCCTGCCTAGCAAGTGGAAGGCCTGGAGTTCAAATCCTAGCACCATCAAATAGAGGGGGGGAGAGGAAGGAAGGAAGGAAGGAAGGAAGGAAGGAAGGAAGGAAGGAAGGAAGGAAAGAAGCTTCTAGTCAGATGGAGGATTCCAGTTCCAGTCTGATGAAGGAGGCAGACTCAGGAGACTCCCAGAGCGCCTGGTATAGCACGCTGGTGGAGGTAGTCTAGCCTGATGGTTTTTTCCCATGCTACCCCTTCTTCAGTGAACTGCTAGTCTGAGAGGAGAGACTTCCTCATGCTGGTGAAGATGCGAGTCTGACGGCGGAGGCATCTCCTATGTGCATCTGTGGAGAAGGCTCCCTCGTTCTCAGAGACATCCTGATCCCGACAGAGGCCGCAAAATGCAATTCAGACCCACGAGGAATTCTTGAAACTGCTGGGCAAACATGGTCTCCATGGGCTGGGAAGGTGGCTCAGTGGTAGAGCGCTTGCCTTGCATGCCTGAGGCCCTGGGTTCGATTCTTCAGCACCACATAAGCAGAAAAGCCAGCAGTGGCACTGTGGCTCAAGTGGTAGAGCGCTAGCCTTGAGCTGAAGAGCTGAGGGACAGTGCCCAGGCCCAGAGTTCAGGCCCCACGACGGTGGGGGGGGGGGGGGACATGGCCTCCACTCAGGGGCCTCCTAGTCTGAGGGTGGAGGCCTTCCATTCTCCTGGGCCTCCTCTTCGGGACCCATAACCTCTTCCCTCCCTCAAAAAAAAAAATTCTTTCTTTTTTGTCAGTGGTGGGGCTTGAACTCAGGGCCTGGGCCCTGTCCCTCAGCTCTTTAGCTCAAGGCGAGCGCTCTACCACTTAAGCCACAGCACCACCTCTGGTTTTCTGAAGAGTCTCATGGGCTTTCTTACCCGGGCTGGCTTTAAACCATGATCCTCAGATCTCACCCTCCTGAGTAGCTAGGATGACAGGTGTGAGCCAGTCTTATTCTAGAGCCTCAGCTGGCCTCAAACTAGCAATCCTCCGGCCTCAGCCTCCCTGGCACTGGGATTACAGGTGTGCACTACCATGCCCGGCTCAGAATCTTCCTTGCCTGTTCTTCTTGACATCTGAGGACTGAACAAATGTGTCCTAGGCCTCTCCCTCCTCATTCTGTGATGGATCTGAGAGGGAAGGAGCTTCTAGGAGACCGGGAATTCCACGTTTGGGGCCCAGGACTTCTATGGCCATGACCCCCAGGGCCCCAGTAGGCCAGCATGGTGCAGCGATACCCGCCCCCCCTTCCCCCTCAGCTGGTGACTGAGTGTCCGGGGCAGACGGGAGAGCGTGCCAGGTTCCTCGGGGCTTTCCAGACTCAACCTCGCCCTGCCCTGCCCTGGCCTGGCCTGGAAGGGCCCCCTCTCATCTCATACACAGTCTGGGGGAAGGGGGGGCTGGGCCCTGGGGGAGGGTCATGCTGACAGGGAAGAGCGGATGACACCAGAGGCTTTGCTGGGCCGGGCAGCTGGGCCCTGGGGGGGGGTCTCGTGACCGACTCACCCGGCTTTCCTAGCTATCATCTTTCTTGTCTTCCCGTCAGGCTGTGACGTAGGGGGAAACTGAGGCCCGGGGAGATCAGAGGAGCAGAAGTCCGCAGAGCAGCAGCTCCACCATGCTTCTATGGAACTAAAGGGGAACAAAAGATGGGGTGAAATGGCACTGGAGAGAAGGGGGGGCCCCGTCAGACCCTCCTGTCCCCACCTGGCCGGCCTCTCTCTTTCTCTCTCTGATCCTGAGGCCTGGGCGCTGTCCCTGAGCTCTTTTCTCATGGGTAGCGCTCTACCACTTGAGCCACAGTACCACTTCCGGTTTTCTGGTGGTTAATTAGAGATAAAAGTCTCATGGACTTTCCTACCCGGGCTGGCTTTGAACCACCATCCTCAGATCTCAGCCTCCTGAGTAGCTAGGATGACAGGCGTGAGCCAATAATGCCTGGTTTATGTCCTTTTTTGAGATAGGGTCTCACCACGCAGCCCGGGCTGGTCGTGAACTTGTTCTAAAACCTAAACCATCTCTGAACTCTAGATGCTGCCACCTTCCTGAGTGCTGAGACTACAGGCATGCACGGTGACGCCCGGCTGAACCCAAACCATCTGAGCATCCCGTTTCCAAAGGGGACCTCAGGGCCCATGGCCCAGCTTTCTCTCATAGTCTCAGGAGGAGTCCTGTGGCCTTCCATCCTAACCCCAACCTTCAGAGCCCCTCAGGGAAGCCTCCAGCCCCGCCTCCCCCCACCCTGTCCCCCACAGGGAACGCAATCAAAAAGGGGTTGATGAGCAGTGGGATGGTAAAATCCTGACTCAGCGCCTGCGTGCAGACCCAGCATTCCCCAGGGGAAGACGAAGCCTTGGCCTGGGCCCTAAATGGGCCGCTTTGGTCCAGTGCCAGGGGCTCTGGCAGCTGCCCAACCCCCAGGGCGAGAGGGGGCTGGGATGAGTGATCCACCATCCTGGAAGCAGGCCTGTGTTCTCCCCTGGAGGGCAGGGTGGCCCGGCCCAGGGAACAGAGCTTCTGTCCAAGGTAAGAGGACCAGCCCGGTGAGGTCCAGGCTGGAGACTCAGTTTCCCTGACCCTGTTGGTCTCGGGATCTATTGAAGTCTAACTCTCTCTCTTCCTGCTGCATGGAGGGTGTCTCTCTACCACCTCACCCTCCCCGTTCCTGGAGGCTAAACACATGACTCCCTCTTTCGAAGGAATGTACGGGGTACACACAGAGATGTTGGTCCACAGCCACTGGGATTAATGGCCAGGCTGCTGGGGGCACAGAGTCCTGACCTCATCTCAATTCGTAGGCTTAGTGAGGTGGCTCCCACCTGCCATCCCAGCTACCTGTGAGGCCTTAAGTAGGAGGATCACAGTCCGGGTCCACTTAACTGGCCTTTGAGACCCTATCTGAAATATAACAAAAGGCCTGGGGTTGTGGCTCAAGCGGTAGAGCGCCTGCCTAGCAAGTGTAAAGTCCTGAGTTCAAATCCCCATACTGCCAAAAAAAAATAAAGGAAGGAAGACAGAGAGAGAGAAAGGGGGAAGGGAGGAAGGGAAGGAAAAAAAATAAACAAACAGGAGGTCCCGGCCTGAGGGCTGGGGTAAGGGTTAAAGCAACAGTGTGGAGAATGGACATCATTCATTCATTCATTCATTCATTCCACACACTTCTCTCTACTTCCTCCGCCATTTGAAGTAAGACCTGCTACCAATGGTAGCTTGATGGTACATTCCTGTAACTCCTGCCCTCGGGAGGCTGAGGCAGGAGGATCACAGGCTAGAGACCAGCCTGTGCTACATAGTGAGACCCTGACTTCAGAAACAAATCAACAACAACAACAAAAGGGGGGAGCCAGAGAAAAGGCCCAGAGAGGGAAAGCCACTCAGCGGAAGGTCACTCAGCATACACTGAAGAACTGGGACTCGAAACTTGGCATGTCCTTAAATACAGTGGATTGAAGTCCTTTCCCGATGAAATGGGGTCTCCACTAATTGTAAACCAGGATTGGGGGGGTATTCTGTCATATTTGGTGACTCCTGGCAGTTGGGCTGATTCCAGCAATTTCCACACTGCAGGCTCTGAGGACGGCGTGGAGCTTTTCCTCATTTCACCTCTCCCCAGGTGAAACCAAAGCTCTGCGATGTTCACTCAGAGCTGAAGGGCAAGAGGCAGGATTCGCACCCAGGCCACAGTGGAAAGCAAAACCATACGAGGCCCAGGAATCGAGACAGCAAGGAACTTGGGATTGGACCAACTTCATCTTCTCCTCTAGGAGGGGAAATCGAGGCCCAGAGAGAGAATCAAAGAAAATGAAAACCGGTCGTTGGTCCTCAGTCCTTTTGAGCTAGACTTGATTTCCCTCTGGGCACCTTGAACAGGTAAAATGTGGGCTTTCTCCCCACACAACACCCCCCCCAACTCCCCAAGAGCACTTAGAGAAGAAGCAGAAGGAGAAAAAAATGGGAACAGATACAAAGGCTGGCTGTGCAAAGGAAAGTGGTTAGACAGCAAGCAGGACTTCCAGGCTTTCTCTGAGAAGTTTCTGGGACTCATCCAGGGGCTGTCCCTTGCCGGTGGGAGGCTCAAGGGCCAGAGAGGGGAGACCCTCGTTCTCCAGGGCCGGGGAGAAGGAGGGGCTGGTCATCCTGGTCCCACATCCTCTGTTCCCGACATTGGAGGGAGGCTGCGGTGGGAGCAGGGACTTTCCTGAGCTGCAGAACGTTCTGGGAAATTAGAGACAGCTGCAGGGCGGGGCTCACTCCTGACCTCCCTTCCCTCCCCACTCCCCACAGCAGTGTTGGTCCCCAGGCACCCCTCCTTCCCCTTCCCCCCTCCAGAAGGGGGGGCTCCCCAACTGCCTCAGCCTCAGAGCTGTGGGCCTCCTCCATCAAACTTCTCCCTCCTCCCTCAGACCCCCCACCTCGGCCTTCAGACCTCCCATCCCCTCCCTCGGACCCCTGCCTCCTCCCTTAGACCCTCACTTCCTCCCTCAGACCCCAGCCTCCTCCCGTAGACCCGCTCATCATCCCTCCCCCCCCTCCGACTGCCTTCTTCCATCACACCCTGGTCCCTCCCCAGGGAAGGGACAGGGCTGGGGCAGGCCTCTGGGTGCGCTGAGGGTGCCCGGCCGCCCACTCTCCAGGGTAAACTGAGTCTCACGAGAGGGGGGCTGAGATCCCACGGCCTGCAACCCTCACGTGCCTCACCTAAGGGCGGAGTGAGGGGGGCCAGGAGGAGGAGGGGGGACCCTCCTCACCCCCCCTCAGCCCGCATCTCTGGTTAACCATCCACTCGGGTGGGGCCCAGCCGGCCAAAGTCCCTTCCGGGGACCGGGACGCACCCCTGGTCCCAGAGGACACAAACGGATGGCAGGGAGCCGCGGAGGGGCGTGGCCAATGGCGAGGGGCGTGGCCAAGGCGAGGGGCGGGGTCTGGGCGGGGCCTCGGGTAGGGCAGGAACGAGGGGGCGGGGCCAGCCCTGCCACGGATGGGGCTGGGGGGGGGGCACACAAGGACCCTCAGACAAGAGATCCAGGGACACCGGGTCCGTCCCCTGGGCATCTCTGGGGTGCAGTCTCCGTTTTCCTACCACCCCCATCTCCCGACCCCTTCCCTCAAAGCCTGTGACTCAGTGACCCGGACGTAACCCCAGCGGCAGCCCGGCTCCCAGGGAAATCCGGGAAAGCCCCGCGCGCCACCCGGCCCCACCCCGGGGCGGGGAGAGGCGAGGGGCGTGGCCGCGGCTCGGCGAGGGCGTGGCCGAGTGTGGGCGTGGTCGCTCGGGGGCGTGGTCTGGAAAGAGGACGCCTCTGTTTCTGACTCACGCGCCCAACCCGCCCGGCCTGTCCACCGCTCACCGGCCCCTCCCTGGAGTGGGAGGGAAAATAGGGGTGCAGAGGGGGGTCAGCCTGCTCCCCAGCTGCAGGACCTGGCCTGGGGCGCCCAAGCTACTGCTTGTCTAGCCTCTCCCCTTTCTCTCTCTCTCTCTTTGCACCGCAGCCTCTCTCCTCTGCATCTGGGGCTCCTCCAGCACCTCTTGGCGCCCGGTGGGCCTTGGCTGACCTCAGAGACACCCCTGCATTCATTCAGCGCTTCTGCGCGCGCACCCCGTACTCCCCCCTCCCCTACACCCCCAAGTGAGGCCTATGGAGGAGGCGGAGACGGACCAGGGGAGGAGGAGAGCCGGGGATCCTGCGCCGTGCCAGCCCCGTGCCAGTCCCAGCCAGGCTGGGGTTTGTCCCCTGTACCCCCCAGGAAGGAGGAAGCGGCTCCGAGAGGGCTGATGTCCGCTTCAAGGTCACCCAGCCCGGAAGGAGGAAGGCAGATTCGAACCTGGCCACCGGGGAGGCCGCACAGGTAATGAATGGCCCGCGATGCAGACCCCGCCCCCGCGGGCGCGGCGGGGCGGCGCGGGTCCAGGAA